ACGAATTTGCTGACAGGGAAGCAAAAAATGCATTGAATCTCCAACAAACAAATATCAAACTACCATAGACAGATTTTAAACCTACTATTCGTACAGCCATTCAAAATGAATGGCAGCAACGCTGGTCTCTCAAGACCACCAACAAACTTTTTAAGGTACAACCGAAACTTAAACATCTATTCCCAGTCGGAAAGATCGTAGAGAGGAAGTTGTCCTCGCTCGGCTCCGCACTGGGCACACATATCCTACTCATTCGTACCTTTTAAAACGAGAAGATCTACCTTCATGCCACGCATGTGACACTCCATTTACAGTGGAACAATTTTAAATAGAATGTTCCGATTTTAAACACATTCGTGATAACTACTTTCGAGTCCCGGATATGAAAACTCTTTTCAGTTCCGTGGACTCGAAGGCATTATTTAACTATTTGAAAGACATCGGTCTATTTTATAGATTCTGATGTCTTTTAACCCACCTTACCCTTTTTGACGTTATATATATATCACATATTCCATATCATCTGTTCGTTATCTCTTTTATTATTTTAACCCCCTTTTTATTTTTTATTATCTACACATACAATGCAAATGCCTTTAAAATGAACCATTTTATCTGATTTTATCTTCACTACTCATATGTTTGTTAAAAAAAATCAAAAAATCAAAAAAATCACCATGGCCCTTAAATGACCACAGCCGTCGATGGGCCGTTAAACATAAACAAACAAACAAACAAACAAACAAACTAATGTAGATAAATATCTGGTTTACACAGGATACAACATAAATTATTACAGGCCAAGGTAGATAAATGTCTGTTTTACACAGATTAACACATTATTACAGGCCAAGGTAGATACATGTTTGGTTTATACAGGTTACAACATTGTTACAGGCCAAGGTAGATAAATGTCTGGTTTATACAGGTTACCGCTTTATTACAGGCCAAGGTAGATAAATGCCTGGTTTACACAGGTTACCACATTATTACAGACCAAAGTAGATAAATGTCTGGTTTACACAGGTTACAACGTCTGGTTTATACAGGTTACCACATTATTACAGACCAAAGTAGATAAATGTCTGGTTTACACAGGTTACCACATTATTACAGACCAAAGTAGATAAATGTCTGGTTTACACAGGTTACAACGTCTGGTTTATACAGGTTACCACATTATTACAGACCAAAGTAGATAAATGTCTGGTTTACACAGGTTACCACATTATTACAGACCAAAGTAGATAAATGTCTGGTTTACACAGGTTACAACGTCTGGTTTATACAGGTTACCACATTATTACAGACCAAAGTAGATAAATGTCTGGTTTACACAGGTTACCACATTATTACAGACCAAAGTAGATAAATGTCTGGTTTACACAGGTTACCACATTATTACAGACCAAGGTAGATAAATGTCTGGTTTACACAGGTTACCACATTATTACAGACCAAAGTAGATAAATGTCTGGTTTACACAGGTTACAACGTCTGGTTTATACAGGTTACCACATTATTACAGACCAAAGTAGATAAATGTCTGGTTTACACAGGTTACCACATTATTACAGACCAAAGTAGATAAATGTCTGGTTTACACAGGTTACAACGTCTGGTTTATACAGGTTACCACATTATTACAGACCAAAGTAGATAAATGTCTGGTTTACACAGGTTACCACATTATTACAGACCAAAGTAGATAAATGTCTGGTTTACACAGGTTACAACGTCTGGTTTATACAGGTTACCACATTATTACAGACCAAAGTAGATAAATGTCTGGTTTACACAGGTTACCACATTATTACAGACCAAAGTAGATAAATGTCTGGTTTACACAGGTTACCACATTATTACAGACCAAGGTAGATAAATGTCTGGTTTACACAGGTTACCACATTATTACAGACCAAAGTAGATAAATGTCTGGTTTACACAGGTTACAACGTCTGGTTTATACAGGTTACCACATTATTACAGACCAAAGTAGATAAATGTCTGGTTTACACAGGTTACCACATTATTACAGACCAAAGTAGATAAATGTCTGGTTTACACAGGTTACAACGTCTGGTTTATACAGGTTACCACATTATTACAGACCAAAGTAGATAAATGTCTGGTTTACACAGGTTACCACATTATTACAGACCAAAGTAGATAAATGTCTGGTTTACACAGGTTACAACGTCTGGTTTATACAGGTTACCACATTATTACAGACCAAAGTAGATAAATGTCTGGTTTACACAGGTTACCACATTATTACAGACCAAAGTAGATAAATGTCTGGTTTACACAGGTTACCACATTATTACAGACCAAGGTAGATAAATGTCTGGTTTACACAGGTTACCACATTATTACAGACCAAAGTAGATAAATGTCTGGTTTACACAGGTTACAACGTCTGGTTTATACAGGTTACCACATTATTACAGACCAAAGTAGATAAATGTCTGGTTTACACAGGTTACCACATTATTACAGACCAAAGTAGATAAATGTCTGGTTTACACAGGTTACAATGTCTGGTTTACACAGGTTACCACATTATTACAGACCAAAGTAGATAAATGTCTGGTTTACACAGGTTACAACGTCTGGTTTATACAGGTTACCACATTATTACAGACCAAAGTAGATAAATGTCTGGTTTACACAGGTTACCACATTATTACAGACCAAAGTAGATAAATGTCTGGTTTACACAGGTTACAATGTCTGGTTTACACAGGTTACCACATTATTACAGACCAAAGTAGATAAATGTCTGGTTTACACAGGTTACAACGTCTGGTTTATACAGGTTACCACATTATTACAGACCAAAGTAGATAAATGTCTGGTTTACACAGGTTACCACATTATTACAGACCAAAGTAGATAAATGTCTGGTTTACACAGGTTACAATGTCTGGTTTACACAGGTTACCACATTATTACAGACCAAAGTAGATAAATGTCTGGTTTACACAGGTTACAACGTCTGGTTTATACAGGTTACCACATTATTACAGACCAAAGTAGATAAATGTCTGGTTTACACAGGTTACCACATTATTACAGACCAAAGTAGATAAATGTCTGGTTTACACAGGTTACAATGTCTGGTTTACACAGGTTACCACATTATTACAGACCAAAGTAGATAAATGTCTGGTTTACACAGGTTACAACGTCTGGTTTATACAGGTTACCACATTATTACAGACCAAAGTAGATAAATGTCTGGTTTACACAGGTTACAACGTCTGGTTTATACAGGTTACCACATTATTACAGACCAAAGTAGATAAATGTCTGGTTTACACAGGTTACAACGTCTGGTTTATACAGGTTACCACATTATTACAGACCAAAGTAGATAAATGTCTGGTTTACACAGGTTACCACATTATTACAGACCAAAGTAGATAAATGTCTGGTTTACACAGGTTACAATGTCTGGTTTATACAGGTTACCACATTATTACAGACCAAAGTAGATAAATGTCTGGTTTACACAGGTTACCACATTATTACAGACCAAGGTAGATAAATGTCTGGTTTACACATGTTACAACGTCGGGTTTATACAGGTTACCACATTATTACAGGCCAAGGTAGATAAATGTCTGGTTTACACATGTTACAACGTCGGGTTTATACAGGTTACCACATTATTACAGGCCAAGGTAGATAAATGTCTGGTTTACACATGTTACAACGTCGGGTTTATAGGTAGATAAATGTCTGGTTTACACAGGTTACAATGTCTGGTTTATACAGGGTACCACATTATTACAGACCAAGGTAGATAAATGACTGGTTTACACAGGTTACAATGTCTGGTTTATACAGGGTACCACATTATTACAGACCAAGGTAGATAAATGTCTGGTTTACACATGTTACAACGTCGGGTTTATAGGTAGATAAATGTCTGGTTTACACAGGTTACCACATTATTACAGACAAAAGTAGATAAATGTCTGGTTTACACAGGTTACCAGATTATTACAGACCAAGGTAGATAAATGTCTGGTTTACACATGTTACAACGTGGGGTTTATACAGGTTACCACATTATTACAGGCCAAGGTAGATAAATGTCTGGTTTACACACGTTACAACGTCTGGTTTATACAGGTTACCACAATATTACAGGCCAAGGTAGATAAATGTCTGGTTTACAAAGGATACAACATTATTACAGGCCAAGGAAGATACATGTCTAGTTTACACAGGTTACCACATTATTACGGGCCAAGGTAGATTAATGTCTGGTTTACACAGGTGACAACATCTGGTTTATACAGGTTACCACAATATTACAGGCCAAGGTAGATAAATGGCTGGTTTACACAGGTTACAACATTGTTACAGGGCAAAAAAATAGATAAATGTCTGGGTCAACAGGTAATCACATTATTACAGGCCAAGGTAGATATTGAATGTCTGGTTTATACAGGTTACCACAATATTACAGGCCATGGTAGATAAATGTCTAGTTAACACAGGTTAATTAATTACCTCATTACAGGCCTAGGTAGATAAATTAAATGTCTGGTTTACACAGGTTATCACATTATTACAGACCAAGTTAGATATACTGTCTTAACATTAGAAGTTTAGTTGAAACGGGTCATAAGTAAAAAGTTAGGTAGGTCAGAGACATATAAGTATAATGTAGTATATACGTCTCTGGGTAGGTAAATGACTCAAATATGTACGCATCATTAAAATTTATGACATTTTACCAGTAAAGGGTTTGTCTTTATAATTTGAGATGAACATGCTTAAACTGAGGTATAAATAATAGAAACTTCTATGTGAAAAATTCACTCCTGCATTTGTCTTCCATTGATGCAGAAAATGCATTGTTTACGTGACAGACGTATATATTGCATGTAATAAATTTAGGGTTAGTCTCCAAAAATATTCTCTAACGTCGATTCATGGCCGACCAAGCGAGGGGAGGTAACTCTTACTATTAAACGAACCAGTATGATGGTTGATTGTGCAACTCGACGGGAAATGTAGTCAAGTGTGTTCCTCTGTTTCAGCAAGTATAGAGAAGTTGCATCATAGATAAATGCTAGGCATATATATTTACTTCAGTTGATATTTCAGCTGCATCTTCAGACGTAACATGACATCGACAAATGGAGGTCTAATCATTACACAGTGACGGTGTAAATTTAACAGGTAGGTACAGGCCTACACAAAATGGATGGCGTTACTCTGTCAGTAAGGAAGCACCCTGCAGAAAAGGATTTACAGTGTTTTCTTGCTTAATATATCCCCCACAGCACAGGAAAAATATCCTAGGAAGTTTGGATCCCCTTCCCTGGATCCGCACACAGGGGCACGTATATATATACGTAGTACTTTGGAATTATATTGTTATTTAAGTCCGTGCCGTGGTAGTACTAATACTATCGGACTACTATTAATATTGATCTTTGAATTTCAGTCGCTGGGTACGTCAAGATCAATATTAAGGTATTTCCTACAGGCTCATGTCAGTCTATATTATAAAGTAAATTGTGATGGGCTCATAACTTTACCTTAAACTGAAAAAAAATAATGAAAGTTGCTTGGGTCCTGACACCAGATCTTCTTTCCTAGTCCGCTAAAACTGAGTGGCTAAAACTGAGTAACCATAATCGCAGCGGACTACTTCTTTGCTACTTCTTTAGGGTGCAGGCCAAGGTAGATAAATGTCTGGTTTTTACAGGTTACCCATTATTACAAGCCAAGGTAGATAAATGTCTGGTTTATACAGGTTACCCCATTATTACAGGCCAATGTAGATAAATATCTGGTTAACACAGGTTACCCCATTATTACAGGCCCAGATATATAAATAGCTGGTTAACACAGGTTACCACATTATAACAGACCAAGGTAGATAAATGTCTGGTTTATACAGGTTACCCCATTATTACAGGCCAATGTAGATAAATATCTGGTTAACACAGGTTACCCCATTATTACAGGCCCAGATATATAAATAGCTGGTTAACACAGGTTACCACATTATTACAGGCCAAGGTAGGTACATGTCTGGTTTACACAGGCTATAACATTGTTACAGGGCAAAACACAATTAGATAAATGTCTGGGTTACACAGGTAATCAGATGCTGGTTCTGACCTACAATTTCAACTTCAGTGACCAGGTTAAAAAGACGAGTCGGAAATTCTGTAAAAAAAACGAAAATAATTAACTACTGCGTAAACTAATGCACCTATAAAAGCAGGTGAGGTTTGACAATTTTGGGGACTTATTGTTTTTACTCCGATTCTTATTAAGTCACCCCGAACGAAGTCGGGTGACTTGTTGTTATTGTTCCGTTTCTTACTTATTATTATTATTATTCTGCCGTAATAGTTTCCGCGAGTAATCTCAGAAACTACTGATTGGATTCTTATCATACTTTGCATAGTCATAATCAGTACAATTTCTAGTTGTGCAACCTGCTTTTTCTTCTTCTATGGTTTAACCATCCAAGATGACAGCCGCTGCCTCTGATTGGCCGAAATCATATCCAGTAATAACATTCGTTCTATTTCATGGAACATCATGAAACTCGGTGAAAGGATGTTAAAGTCACAGCGCTCATTTTCGACAAATAAATCATTGACTTTGTATTCAAAATGGTGGCCAAATGCAGGCTTCTGATTGGTTGAAATTAAAATATCATCCAATTTTCATGAAACTTGTAAAAACAAATAGGAGTAGTATTGCACTATGTGCACAATTGCGGTGTTTGTTTGTGAAAAATCAAAATGGCGCCATTTCCTGGGCTCTGATTGGTCCAAATATTAATATCTTCTAATTTTGATGAAATTTAGTATATAGGTGTAGTATGGCACTTCGAACATAACTGTGGATTTTGCTTTGTCAAAAAAAAAAATGGCTGTCATTTCCTAGCCTCTGCTTGGTTGAAATTTAAATATCGTCCAATTTTGATGAAATTTGGTATATAGGTGTAGTATGGCACTGAACACAACTGCAGTGTTAGTTTTGTGTAAAAACAAAATGGCTGCATACTTAGCAGGGGAGGGGTGACTTCAGCTATTGCTCGCAATTGCAATTCTAGTTCTTATTCAATCTGATTAAAATCATATGTTACATAGCTTCGTTAATTTCGTACTACGCCTGAACATCTGAGTGTGCCGCGGTCAGGGTCATGTTCAGGTGACCTTTATATTTATAAATACTCATTAAATTTTGACCAATCAGAGACCCTCTTTCAAAAGGGCGCTCGGAGTTGTAACAAATATGGTGGACATTGATGAGAATGATGCGAAAGTTCTGAAGTTATTCGAGATTGATCATCTGAAACCCGAACAGAAAAAGATATTCGCAGCTTTATTAGAGAAGAAAGACTGTATTTGTTTTGGAAAACTAATCTGTTCGATACCCCTCGCTATTTAATATTCCGATTCGCTGGCAAAAGCGCCTCTGATTGGTTCATCTAAAGGTCACTTGAACGTGACCCTGACCACGGCACATTCAGATGTTCAGGCAGAGCCATGTAACAGATGATTTTAATCAGATTGAGTAATTTTTCTTCTTCTTTCTTATGTTCCGCTTTCCGCCGTAAAGGTTTCCGACATTTTTCTCAGAAACTATAAGTCAGATCTTCACTAAACTTTCAGGGATTATTACTGACAGCCTCTAGATGTGCAAAAACTTCTTTGTTTTTCCGATTACCATCCAAGATGCACGCCATGAATTTTTGAAAGGACTATGTATGGTTTGGGCCTGTTTTGGCCCCCAAATGCATCAAAATTCAAAACCTTTAAATGAACTTTGAAATGACTGTTTCTTTAATTTGAATACTTCCCAAATACTATTATGAAAATATTTATTTTTTATTCTTTACGTTTCTCCTAAAGATGTATTACAGGTGTAGGCACCTTTAATACATCTTTAGGAGAAATATAAAGTTTGTTCAAGAGTGCGCTCTATGGAAGCTAAGAGAAAAACTAGGTGAAAACCAGTCAAAATTGACTGAAAAATTGAATTTCAATAATTTATGCAAAAATGACCTGGTTACCATGGCAGTCAAAATTGAAAACACAAATAAATGTTAACATAATGGTACTGGGGAAGTATTCAAAATTAAAGAAACATTCGTTTGAAAGTTCTATTGCAGATTTTTAATTTTGATGGATTTGGGGGCCGAAAAAGGGCCAAACCATACAAAGTCCTTTTTGGGAATTAAAAATTTCTTAAGGTGTTCGCTAAAGATAGCCAATGTCACCTTTCCTATTTTACATGTTTTATAGATATTTTCCAATGCATTCCAAATTTGGCATGTAGGTGTATGATGGTACTGCAAACTCAACCATGACATCGTTTTCTAATTAGACAAAATGGCTGCCATATACTGGTTACTGATTGGTCGAAACTTCGTTATTGTTCGATTTCACTCAAATTTAGTGTGAAGGTGTTTTATGCAATTGTGATCCTTTCTGACTTGCGACTATGGGGGCAGTTTGGGGGACTTCTGTAATGGTCCCCCATTACAATAAGTACTTGCTATTATTAATATTATTATGGCAAGACCGGAATTTGAACCCAGAACCCTGCAAACTCTAGACGGACACTCTACGAATTGAGGTAGTACCTGGTCACCAACGATTGATCATTTAGTTCAGTTCCACCATGGACTTAGAAAGCAAATCTAAGTATATGGTTCCATTATATTCCTTCCTTCTTTTTCTAGGCCTTTAACCCCAAAGACATCACTATTTACAACCCCTTACCAAGCGTTCACCCAGTACTTGAAACAAGGGGCAACACTTTGTGCAAAGATAGAGAAATGCATGTAACTCCTGGTTAATAGTTTTGGTTACACTTGTAGTATAGAGTACTGAATACAAACTAATTTCTCATTCAAACGTAAGTAGTTCCTATCTTGCATTGTTGTCATACTTTCATGGATAATGAAAAAATGGTCTATACATGATGCAGAATGATGGTTACATAAGGATTACAATATTTGGCCTATTGCTTGCTAAGTTGTATGGTTATCGAGTTCTCTCCTTCCCGCTGTATATTTTAATAGATATTTTTATACTGTAGGTTAGTGCAATAAAAGATCACAATCATGGACGAAGACGAGGGACTTGACATGCTGATTGCCCAGAGAAGCCAACGACCATCTTTTGCTCGTATGATATCTTGGGAGTTCAATGATGCAGATGAAACAAAAGTTGTTTCAACACAAAGACGACAGAGACGGAGGTCTAAACAACAGTCAGGGGAGACAACTCAACACATGGGGGAGGATGACCTTGGAGCATGTGGACAGGATGACCTTGATCCTGCACTGAGGTCAGACATGTCAAGTTTGTCACTTGAGGGATTAAGTGATTCTGATGAAGAGTTCTTTTCAGCAGAAGAATTCTATATTTCGGATTCAGAACCAGGTACTGGAGATAGTGTTGTGTCTGCGAGTATTGATGGGCAAGAAGAGGCGAAATGTGTCAGGAACACAGGGGAAGAATGTGAAAGTGATGAAGACAGGGTATTTACAGAACAAAATGCAAATTTAAATTGCAGCTCTTCAAATATTAGACCTTCTAGACTTAGCAAAAAACAGAAGAAAAAACGTCGAAAAGAAGTTTGTATTATGTACGAAAATGAACTTCGGCCTTTCATGGATATAGAGTTTGATGATATTGTACCTTCTGATCGGACTTCAGTTGGTGAAACATTAGACATTTCCAAAGATGTTCCTTCACTAGTCCAACTGTGTATCAAGTCAGCATACAAAATAAACCTAAAATCTATGCCAGAACTGCCGAACAAATTGAAACGCCTTTTTTGTCTAGATGAAGATTTCTCACTGCAAAAATTTCAGTTGTCATGGTTGCATTCAACATTATCCCGTTTTGAACCCGAAGAGAAATTTGCAGATAACTGCATGTCAAAAGATGGCAAAGATAAACCTGCAGAGTTATTACATCCGGCTAGAAATGTTTGGAACAAGAAGTACCGTCTGAACCATACACCTAAGGAATATAAAGGCAGTGAGGTGTCAGCCACACTGCCATTTACAATTCTTGATCAGGCGAGTGACATGGGACATAAAAGAGCTATCATCACTTGGGCAGGTAAGTAGATATCAGGCGGAGAAGGAAATCATTAGCGACGAAATGCTTAAATGTTATACCTCTGAAATATGTACAATTTCAGTGTATTCTTGTCACTAGTTGAGATCTGGTGACGAGATCAAAAAGGGACACTGAAGAAAGTTATCCAGCTACATGTACTTGCTCCAAATAAATTAAAAACAGTTTTTTTAAATTGTGATTTTACCTTTTGATACGTATATGCATCTCTCCTAAAACAAACAAAATAAATGCTAGCATATACTAGATTGTATTTGACTGATCACGATCTCCTTATATATCTAATGTGCCTGTAATGTATGTAACTGTTGTGCAGTGCTGTTGTTGTTGACAGTGGTTGCTGCTACTGTGGAGCTGATGTTGCCACCATTTTTATCTGCCGTTGCCTACAGACACCAATCAGAGAGTGAAGATGACCGTATTGTTCAGGCTACCAGGAGTGTGATGGCTAGACTGAAATATGCAATGAAGAACAGGTAGGTCATGTGATATATTGATGGGTCACATGATAAACATGAGTAGGTCACATGTGACACACATGGGTAGGTCATGTGATACACATGGGTAGACCATATGATACACATGGATAGGTCGTCATACGATATACATGGATAGGTCGTCATGTGATACATGTGAATAGGTCATGTGATACACACAAGAATGACATGAGATTGATAGCTCTTTCCTGGTGAATATTATTACTCAACATTTTATAGTTTTCTGTAATTACATGTATACTCCCTGCAACGAAGTTAACGGGAGGGTTACTGGAATCAGCTTGTCTGTTTGTCCCCTGCAACAAAGTTAGGGGGGTATACTGGAATCAGCTTGTCTGTCTGTCCATAGAAAAAGTTTATCCGGACAACTTCTTCTAAAGTTATGGATTGATTTCAACGAAACTTTCCAGATATGATAATTACCGCCTGAAGTTGTGCATCCAGGTATTATTTGTTCATTTTGACCCTTTTTACAAAGTTATGGCCCTTTGCTGAAAAATCCTTGTCCGGATACTCCTCCAAAATTACTGGGCCAATATCAATAAAAGTTTTTATATATGATAACTATCACCTGATGTTGTGCATCCAGGCATTATTTTTCAATCTGACCCTTTTTTGCAGAGTTATTGCCCTTTCTTGAAAAATCCTTTTCCAGAAAACTCCTCCAAGACTATGCGGCAACTTCAACAGAAGTTTTCAGATATGATAACTATAACCCTGATGTTGTGCATCAAGGTATTTTTTTTTCTAACCCTTTTTCATGAAGTTATTGCCCTTTGTTGAAAAATTCTTGTCCTGACAACTTCTCCTGATCTACTAGGCCAATTTCAAAGTGAGTTTACAAATATAGTAACTGCCCCCTGACGTTGTGCATTCAAGTAGTACTTTTTCATTCCGACCCTTTTAAAAGGAGTTATGGCCCTTTGTTGAAAAAAAACTTTGTCTGACAGCCTCCTAAACTAATGGGCCGATTTCAAGGAATGTTTACAGATATGGTAATTACCCCCTGTTGTCAGGCATCAGGGTAGTATTTTTTCATTCTGACCCTTTTTAAGGAGTTATGGCCCTTTGTTAGAAATTCTTGTCCTGACATCTCCTCCCTAACTACTAGGACGATTTCAGCAAAACTTGTTCATCCGGGCTCACAAGATTTGGTTTGCAAGTATGTCTTTACATTGGGAGAGAGTACAAGAATCTTGTGACCTATATACTATAATGACTGCTCAGCTCAGTCAATAAAGAAATCATTACTGGTGGGAGACTATGGATTGCTTTGCAATGCTTTGCCTAATTAGTAAGCCTTAAGCTTACAGTTCTGGTATATATATGAGCGGGGGTATATGTTAGCCTTTGGCTTACAGTTCTAGTTTATACAACACTCCACTGACAGACAGTTTTAGATGTCGGTAAACACAGTAAGTTTTCATTCTACATTAAAAGTCGGGACCCTAGTCCCAACAGGCTGCTGGTTGTTTGAGATTTTTCACTGTGGTATGTATATTGATGCTGTACCCTTCCATTATATTTCAACAGATTCCCCACTGTGGTGTCTTACTGTTTTGACGATGTTGTGCCATATGCCTTGTGGGCCAGAGGAGACCTCCATCAAGCGACCAAGTATTTCATGTCACTTTCACAGAGTTCAACCAAAGGTGTGATGGAGTACTGATGTTAAATTTGATTGTAATAGCAATTCTTAAAAGCAGTTTACTACATACAACAATGAACTTCCTCATTAAATCAGAACTGCATACAGCAATGAGTTTTCCAGTTAAACACTAACTGCATACATCAGTTAGCTTCCCATTGAAAATGATCAAAAACACACAATCAAGAAGTAATCAAGATTTTTTATTTGAATTTTGGCTAATTGATCAATATTTCAACAATAGAATATAACCAAGACTAGTAGGTATAGGAGAAGACTGTATGGTACTTAGTTACATGTGTATGTA